AAGCCTGGTAGATCCATTTAAACCAAGTGATCAAGGGCATCAGTAACGGGACATTCCAACACCATGTACCACGTGATATGATGTCCTAAGAAGGGCATATCGCCTCTGCGGTTTCTGCTCTGAAAGGCATGACCCTCAATTTCATCTCAAGAAAATGCCAAACAACCCTAAATACAGGAACATTCTATAAAATAACTAACCAGTATCTGTCAAAATTTTTGAAAAATTTGTCATGGAAGACTGAGGAACTATCCCAAAGTAGGATCCTGGTCCAGAAAAAGAACATAAATGGTAAAACTTGTAAAATTCAAATAAGGTCTTTAGATTAATAGCAGTTTATCAATGTTGAGTTTCCTGGTTGGTTAATTGTAGCATGGTGTGTAAAATGTAATAATTAGTCGATATGAGTGGGGCATATGGAAATTCTGCACTACTTTTGCAACATTTTTGTAAGTAAAAAATTATTTTAAAATAAAAGTTAAAACACACACGTCTTTAAAAACCTGAGTCTGACACTCAGCCCATTGTGGGCAGGCAGCTCTCTGAGGGCTAGAGACGGGCTCTAAGCTTCACAGACAGAGGCCCATAGCCCCTCTCTGCTCCAGAAACTTGCACTGGTGCCCAGACAGTTGTGGTGGTCATTAGAGCACCTCATTCCCACAGAGACACATGTGGGGCGGTTTCCAGCCCCATGAGCAAGAGAGCACGAAGGGCATCAGGATGTCGCAGGTCCTCCTAGGAGCCTAAAGAGAAAAACCCAGAAGCCAGAATAATGGGAGATCAAAAGGAGGACCCGGAGGATTTCTTTTTCAGTTTCAAAAGAGCCAATTTTTGGTTAAACATTTACTTGCTGAGAAGAGAGCCTGCTAGCAATTTTCAATGAGAGGAGAGGGATGGTGAGGGGGTGAGGGAAGTCCTGGGAAGAGGAGGAGGAGGAGATGGAAGGGGAAGAAGATCCCTGCCTATGAGCAGCTACTGTATAAGCATGGATTCCAGGTCTCCGCTACTTATTTCCTCAGTGACCTCAGCCTAGTTACTTAATCTTGCCGTGACTCGGTTTCCCTATTTGTAGAATGGGGGTAGTAATTCTGTGGGGACTGACTGTTCAAGAATTAAATGAATTAACACACGAAAGCATTTAGAATAGTGCCTGGTACATTAAAAGTGCTAAGGATTAATTATTACACTGAACCTTATGAAATTGCCAATATTTGACCATTTTGACGTATAACAACAATTCCATAAAATGCGACCTAATATTATCATAATTATTCTATTACAGCTGCCCAGGCTAAGGGCCAGAATTACTGAGGTCTCCTCTACTACGAAAGAGGCTTGGCCCAGCTCTGCTGGAAGCTCTCATTTCCAACGGCCCCCCGTGGTCTAGAGGACTGCACCATCCTGCTCCTACAGCAGCCTCAAGTTCCCTTGCTCAGAAGTCTCAGGAAGGAAACCTGATAAGGCAATCCTCCTATTGTTAATTTTTGGTCCCCTCTCCCAGGCAGTGTGACTCCAGACAACTGCTTAGTCAGGGAGAAGCAAGTGCCTGTCCTTCTGGGGGCTCTCGCCACAGCTGGGACACTGCCCTCTGCCCCTGCACCTCCTCTCCAGCCCCATTTGTTTATCCAGCTTGGCAGTTTCACCCAGGATTAGCCGAGCATGGTTTACTTAGGTGAGTTCAAATCACTCAGACTTGGGTTTCTAAAGCTCCGTCTTCACTTTACTGCTCCCCAGATTCAGGAATATATTACAGGGAGCAATAATAATGATAATAAGCTCACTGTTTCGAGGGCTATATGCATAGTACACCATTCTAACAGCTTCACATGTGTTAATGTGTATAATCCTCATAATAGCCCAAGGAGGCAGGTACTCTTATCCCCATTTCACAGGTAAGAAAACTGAGGCATACTGAAAGCCAATTTACTTCTTAAGGTTACACATCTAGAAAAGTGGCAGAGTTAGGATTTGACCCTAGGCAGACCGGCCCCAGAGACCAGGGATTAACACTGTGCTATTCTGCATAGTCCCCAACTTTAGAAGGAGGGTTGCCACTTTGCGACACCCTCCACTGGTTCCCTCACAGTGGGGTCTTCTTCCCTGTTCTTTAAGGGCGGTAAGTGGCTGTTCTGCTGATACTGCCCCAACTCTAACTTTTATCTCTGCAGCTACTTCATCTCTGCAGTTTTCCTTAGAGTCGCTGCAGCTTTTAGTCCTAAAATGTCTCTCTCCCAGGCTAGGCCTGTTGGGCTCTCTGGGATACCTGTATTCACTGACAGACCTTCTTTTGTTTTAATTACAGGTGGCCCTTTTCTCTACAGAGGTCACGGGCCAATATCTCACCATCTCACACAGTGCTCTTGTGCCCTTTTCCCTCACACCCGTGCCATGCTTCTGTTTCCTAAGGTCACCTCCTGTCTATCCTAACACAGCCAGACACATTTTTTTCCTTTTATTATTCATAGAATTATAGGGTTGTAGGGCTGGGAGGAACTTTGCAGATTATACAGCTTCATCGTCCATTCTATTTTGTTTAAAAGACAGAGGTGACACTCCTCCCCGAGTATGTTAGCACAGCGGCAGACAAAAAGCCCCAGTTATTCTGTGGGTTATTGTAGAAAGACCTCAAATCTATCAGATAATCGAATATGCTATCTAGTAAAGAACATCTCTAACACAGTTTTAAAGTCATAGGCTATTGTCCTATGCTCTGTCAATACTGTGAATTGCTAAAAGTCATTCTTAGAATCACCTCCACCTCCCTAAGCTAATCTGGGAAGCACTTTTATCACATATGACAAGGCCTTCTGAGCCTGGCTCACGATAACTAAATTAGGTTCCATGCTCTCGATATCCTGCTCCACCTCAACCACATTATCAGAATGGATAGCTCACTCGGCACATGGCCACTGCCACCCCTTGTGCTCGTTTATCCTAGGATGTCACATATGCCGCTTGATGGCAAAAATGGTGGCTCTTCATCAGCTGCCTGCAGCTGTGGCACCAGAGCTAGCATCTCACAGAAGCCCACCCTTTCCTTTTTCTTCCAGAGCGAGCCCTTACTTGGGCAAGTCTGGCCCTGTCTTTCCATCTATCTGCTGAACAGGCTTCTGCTTTAGACATCTAATACCACTTACAAAGTGGCACTGCTCATGGATCACATGAAGATGCTGCTGCTCTCCAGAACACCTCTGTTATTAATTAGAACTTAGGAAAACATTCAACCTTCTCTGGCTTTCCTCCGTCTGCTTTTAAAAGAAATACATGCCCATTAAAAAGCAAACAAAAACTCTCAGTTGAGAAATGTACAAAGCAGTAAAACAAAAGCCCACTACTGCCCCCAGAGATAATGACTATGAACAACCTCCAGGCCTTTCTCTCTGCAGACTACGAACCTGGCTATCTCTCTCCTCGACCCCCACTTTCCCCTTCCTGGGCCTCCTAGAGCAGCTGCCTGCTGTCCCACCACCTAACATTTGTCCTTCTTCAGTGTTCTTCGCATCCCCACCCAAGGCTTCCAGGACGCTGCACTCTCACTGGTCATTCCCTCTGCCTCCTTTGTTCTGCCTACCTCCTCTCCCGGGCCTTTTTGTGTAGGAGTGTGCCAGGGCTCAGGCCTGGTCCTCGTCTCTCTTCTGTCCATACTCACTTCCTCAGGGATCTTACCCACTATTCCAGCTGTAAGGACCATCTAGCAAAAGGCTCCTAAACATATATGTCCAGTCCAGACCTCTCTGTCTTCCAAACTCCAGACTTGTAAATTTTATTTCCTATTCTACATCTCTGTTTAAATGTCTAATGGCAGTTAAAATTCAGCATGCTCAAAACTGACTTCCAGATCTTTCTCCATAAATCTGCTCCCCCAAAGCCTTCTTATGAACTGTAAAGTCATGCTGACTCATCTCTTTCTATTAGGAATTCCTGTTGGCTCTACTTCTCATACCTCCACTGCTACCATCAAGGTCTAGGCCACCCTCGTGTCTCACCTAGAGGACTGCAATAGCCTCCTAGGTGGTCTCTTGCTTCCACCCTTGCCCACACCTACAGTCTACATGGAAGCCCCAGTGATCCTTTGAAAATATAAGTCAGATTGTGTCCCTCCACTGCTCTTATGGATCCCCTTCCACTCGGAGTAAAGGCCGAAGTCTTTCCAGTGTCTACAAAGTCCTCTGTGATCTGGGTCCCTTGTAAGTTCTCTGGCCTCACCTCTTCCTACTCTTCCTCTGGACCACTCTGCTCCAGGCCACACTGGCCCCCATCGTGATTCCTAAAACGGCAGGCACAGCACTGCTTTAAGGCCTTTGCCCTGGCTGTTCCCTCTGCCTAGACCACCATGCGACTTGACTCCTCACTGCGTACAGGTCTGTGCTTAGACTGCCTGCCCCTTATCTGCCTTCGTGATTTATTTTCACAGCATTTACAACCACTTGGCTTTTTTGGTTACTCTGCTCCTTCATCTTCCCCAAGCCTTTGCTCAAATGTCACCTTCCAAGTGAGCCTATACTGATTACTTTATCTGAAACTGCAATTTGTCCTTTCCCCACTACCTAATAACCCCTTTATCTTGCTCTACATTGAAAAATTTTCTTTATCACCTTCTAACATTCTTTTAAATTTATTATACTTTTGTTTATTGTAAATTTCTCCCCAACTAGTACGTAAGCTCTATGAGAACCCAGATGTCTGTCTGTTTTACTTTCTAATATATCCTACACCTTCAACAGTGTCTAGCATGTGGCAGGCATTCAACAAATGCTTGTCAATGAATGACTGGAGGTCTCTCAGGCCCGCCCAGCAGCTCTTCAGGCTTTAGGGCACTAAGGCCCTTTCTACTGAAGAGCTCTGGGCCCCGATGACTCCCTGCCAACTGGGAGTGCAACCTCTTCTGAAAACCCTTTCTCCCCTCTTCTTCCCAGACAGGTACCTGCTACAGCCCCACTAATGGGATAACCTCCATTCTGACGCTCATCCCAGCCCAGGCTGAGCTCCTGTGTACTCACCTGAAAGTCCTCTTCATCCAAGATCTCTTTTCTCCACTTGATCAAGAAAGCTGCACATACATAGAGATGAAAGTGGGAGAATCCTTCTGGTTCAGACTGAAAAAGCAAAAAACAGAGTTAGGTCTCTAAGCCCTGACAAGAAGCTAGCTCTAATCCTCTCAGTTCCAATCCTTCTGCAAGGTGGGAAAGCAGGGTAGCACCCCTTTCATGGCTGGACAAACTGAGGCAGTAAAAACAGAGGCCCTGCCCGTGAGGCTAAGGCAGACACAGAAGTAGAAAGAAGGTGGGGGGACTTCTGAGCAGCCACACTCCACACCAGGGCAGGGAGTGGGTGCCTCAGGGACAGTCTGGCATGGAGAAGGCAGGGACTCTCTTCATACCTGGTATGTGTCCCACAAGCGGATGGTGCAGCGAAGGGGAAGCTCCCGCATAAGCAGGTTATTCATCCAACGAAAGGCAAACTGTAGGTATTCGACCTCGTACCTCCTGAAGTGATTATGTACCTGCTCTGAAACAGGAAGTGTCATTGGCCCTGGGAGCACAACTTAGGGGATCAGACCCTGAAAAAGTCGCATGAACCAAGAAGGCAGTTTCCATTTCTATTCACCTCTTCCCTGGGGAAGCCAGACAGAGGGGCCAGACTGGCAGTGGACTGTCCTTTGTGATTAATTCTGCCATCTCACAACAACACTGCATGGCCTCAGCCTGCACACGGTAGAACTATTTTAACATCCCATAGCGATGTTCTAGGTATCTTTCTTCCTTTGCAAGGCTGCTCTAGCCACAAAGCAGGAGATATAAGGTTCGCTTGGATGCCTGACCTTATTACTTATCAGAGAAGGAGCCGGAATGGAAAAGAACTGGGGGTCACCTTGGCCACCCTCCCGCCAGCGAGGATTTCTTCTTCAGCATCCCTGACAGATTGCAGCCAGCAGGGACTCACACTCTGCCAGTAACGGGCCCACTGACTCTACTCAAGGACAGCCTCTCCCGCTGAAGTATTAAGTGATTCGCCAGAAAGTGCTTCCCCATATTCAGCAGAAACTAGCTCCCTCCTAACCCCCATCACTTGGTAGCTGTGTGATATCCTAGAACCCCTAAAACAAACCTGACCCTGTTCTACATGACAGCCCTTCAAATAATACTTAATAGCATGTTTTAAAAAATCACTATCCTCCTTAGTTTCCTAATCTATAAAACGAGGATAGTCATTCATACCTCGGAAGGTTTGGGAGAGGATAAACTGAGAAAATATAAGTGCTTACAACAGCACCTGGCATGTGGTAAATACTTAATACAATTTTTGAAAGAATTACTATTAACAATGGTTATTTCTGGGGAGTAGAATTTAAGGAAGGGGGAGAATTTCCATTTTTTATTTTGTGTTTTTCTGAATTGTTTAAATTTTTGTAATAAGAATTACTTCTGTAACTCAAAGAATAAAGATACGGACACTTAAAAATCCACTATCCTGAAGTACTATGCCTTTATTTATCATGTATGTATGGCAGAAAAAACAAGGACAGGGCAGACAGTGGCAGAAACCACAGCCTCTGCCCTCTGTAACCCAATTGATGACCAGCCTATCAGCCAGCTTAGCAGCCTTGCTCATGGTAGGGCGCACCCTGTACAGGATCCAGGTGAGAGATACAAGAGACCTAGATGTGGGTCCTGCCACAGGGCTAGCAGCTGGGTCAGGGTGATAAGAGCGAAAAAAACAACCTACATATGATGTAGAGGAAAACAACTGTAAATAAGCAAATGAGCTGAGAAGACTGAAATCTTGGGTTATAGAAGAAAGCTGAAGTGAGTGGAACAAATCCATGAAAAGAGACCCGGGGAAAGGAGAGAGACAAAAGGCCATGCTTATCTAAAGCAGAAAATTCATGACTAGGAAAACTAGGAAATGAGACCTATTAGCTGGTGTAGGACCTGGTGAAGTCCTAAAGAAGCTTTACAACTTAACTGGTGCTAGGGATCCCACTTAACAGACCTTCATGAAACTTAACTCTGACTTCTCTCCTTGGACCTCAGTTTCTTCGTCAGTCAAGAGCAGGGCTTCCTGAGTTGCCTTTTAGTTCTAATATTCCATGATTTCCAGTCAGAGCCAAGGAATTGCTGTAAGGCTCCTGTTTCTCAAAGACAATAAGCTTCAGGAAGAGCTACGTCTCATTTCCCCTGGCCCAAACAGGTCCCAGGGAGCTATGGGAAGTTCTGCTAGTGTGTCAGCCAGTCTTGAGGACCATGTGTCAAACCCAAGAGTCCTGAGTTACATCACCACTTGAAGGACAAGTCAGACTACAGACAAGACTCTAAAAGCAATGGAGAGCCACAGGAAGTTTCAGAGCAGAAAAGGGATGTGACCAGAACAATGTGTTAGAAAGATGCAGTTGTGTGATAGATTTGGAAGAAGAAAGAATATGGAGGAGGCATGGCTGGACCAGAGCAGTGGCTAGGAAAATGGAGAAGAAAGGGTAAATTTGAGGAGAGATGCTAAAGGAGAACTGATAGAACTTGGTGACAGAAAACTAAGGAGAAAAAAGAATTTGAGATAACAGCAGAGTTCTCACTTCACATTCCTATTGGGATTTGGAAGGATTCCTGTGCCACCAACAGCACAGAGTGGAAAGGGTCATGCCTGGGAAGGGGTCTGGGGAAGGGTCCCACGGCATAACTTGCTTGCATCGGAATCATACTTTGCTATTACTAGAGAACTACTGTTCCTGAGCCTACCATCAATCCGGCTGACAAGTTCTTCCAGTGCCTTGACCTTCTTCTGGATCCCTGGTTGTGCAAAGGTGTAGTTATCCTGCAAATGACATAGAGCCTGGGATAAACAGAACGCCAAACAGTCATGCTACCACCCCTTGAGTTCATAGAAACACATTTAAAAGCACAAGCTGTTTTTCCAAAGCCAGTGCCAGTGTTTGGGGAAACAACAGAATCTACAGAACAGCAGAGCATGGGAAAAGCCTAAGAGAGCCCTGCACTGTGGAAGCAAACCACAAGGCCTGGGTGCACAGCAGAAAGGAAGGATATGCTCTAATGACAAAGCCAGGGCAACACGGAGACTTCCTGAAACTCCAGAGGACACCAGACCATTGCCTTTTGAAAGCTGTAAAGCTAATGAGAAAGGTAGAGATGAATGGACCAAAAAGAGGTAGTGCCACGCAGTGGGGCAGGGCTGTCTGATATAGAAGAGCAATTAGGAACGCAAAGGCCCACAGGAACCCCTGGACCCAGGCGTCCCACAAGAGCAGAACCAGCTCACCTGGATCCCATCCAGCAGCTTGCTCATGCACCAAAAGCTGTCGGCTTCGATGCTCCGCAGAATGTCCTGAGACAAGTTGGTCACGTCAAAGTTCTCGACATCCTCTTCTGTAAAACAAAAGGTGAAGAAAGTCCAGAGGTCTTCTCTAGAAAATGGAGAGAGAAAGACAGAGTCTAGTATCTTTGATGGGGTCCTTCAGGCCAGGGAACAGCCGGGCTAACCTGATGCCAAGGAACAAGGGCCGGCCTGACCCCTGCCTCATCAGGTGGGCAATATGTCCCAGTAAAGCTCTTAAGGATCTCATGACAACGTTGAACAGGCCACTTCCCATACCAATTCCACTGGGTCCAATATATCTTTTTCTTCTCCTGCATTTGCTCATTCGATCTGAGAAAAAGATACTTCAGGCCTCACATTCAATGAGCTATACCCAGCCCCCTGGAGATGGTCTGGAAATATTATTTAATTTCAAAAATTCAGTGAGCTGTCTAGCAACTCACCTATAGTGAGAACAGCTAGGATTAGATAGCCCCCATAATTCATTTTTAAAGATGGAATCCCCAAATTCTGACATAGCAGACCCACAGCCTCACCACTCAGAAGTGAAGATGAGCTTGTAAAAAAAGATGGCCCAAACGTGTGGTAGCTTCTAGAATTTAATTCCACCAAACTGGTAGTTCCTAAAACGGGTGATTTCTGTAAAACATCAGTCCTAAAGGATACCGAAGAAAAAAGGGGTTCCATTGACAAAGACAGTCGAGAAATGCTGCATTATATAGCCTCATCTTGGGGAGTCACAAAGATCACAGCGAGCAAAAGGATTTGAGAAATTATAAGAAATTTTTCATTAAGTAAATCTGTTTAACCTTGCTTATCATCCAGCATTTCCCAAAACTCTTAAGTCATGGGACTTCTTTTAAAGAGGACCATCTAGTAGCTCTCATGAAACCCCACACTAAATAACAGGAGTGAGAAGTTGCCTGTCTGGCTGAGATTCAAGTGGGGAGAATGTAAGGAGTCCTCTAGAAACCCAAAGAAGAAAAAGGCCATGTGATGTTTCCTTCCTGCCTCAGAGAGGTGGAAGTACTAAGAAAGGCTCTCTGTGCCTGCCAAGACAGTCCGCCTCAACCCACGGGCTCCTGCAGGCCTGTCAAAGGCCACACACGGAAATGTTCAGGCCCTTGAGTTCTGCGCCCAGGCAGCTACTCTCCTTTGATCCACAAGACCTATTTTGAAAACAGGACATTCACTGCAGCCCCTAGTGCTGCAGACACAGGCAGCACTCAGAATCCAGCCCTTTCATTTATGAGAATTATTACTAAGACTTACAACTGAACCTCGAGACAACATGTAACTCGCAGATTATCATCCTGTATAAACAGCATTTTTAAATGGACATCAAGGGCTACAAAAATCCTTTTGGGGAACGTGGGGTACTCTATCAGAAAATCTATGACCTTGGGAAAAACCTAAAGTCAGACTCAAAGTACAGATATAGTTAAGACATGTAAAGTGCTAAAAGGGCCTGGCACACAGTAGGTATGATATAGTTTATTTTAGATGAAGTTTATTAGGAATTTGTAATGACATGGAAACATGTTACTCTGTTAAGGAAAAAGAGTAAGGTACAAAATTTATGGTATACTCTCAATTACTGTACATACAATATTTATGTGTTTACATAAGCACAGTAGAAAGACAAAATATATCATGAGGTTTACAGTGCTTATTCCCCAGGTGGTAGAAATAAAGGATTTTATTTTCTTTAAGCTTTACTAGACTTTTCAAAATTCCTACAATAAACATAATTTTTATAGTCAGGAAAAAAATGTATATTATTTTAGAAAAAAGAGCTATAATTGACTACACCTGCCTTTTATCACCAAAAAACAATAAAAAAGATTTTTTTTTTTTTTTAAATTTACACGAAGCCTGCAGAAACTAAGACTTTAGATAATATATAAAGATCCACTTGAGAAATCACACTGAGGAAGAAAAAAACCTTCCAAGAAATATCATTTTATTTTTCCCCTAACTTAAGCACTTATTATGTAATAATGTCTTTGGGGAGTGACCATATCACACCATTCATTAATTTAGTTAAATAATACTGGGCTCTAAGACCCAGCTCAGATTCTTCCTTTTCCTTTTTGCTTCGTATTACATGTCTAAGCTCCTTGAGTGTGTCTGTACATACCTCTAGTTCATTGCCCCACGTGTGCTAGGGACAGGAATCCAGCTGCCTCCAAATCCCACTACCATAAATGATGTCTTGAGGAACTGTCCCGTTTAGCCAGTGGAGAACTGCTCTGGGCCACAGTTTCAGGCAGACCTAACCCACAGGTACTGCCAGACTCCGCTCCAGGACCAGACCCACAGCAGTGCATGAGGGGAATGTCATTTCCTTTTCAGAGAGTGCTGCTGCTCATGCAACCATCCTAGGCAGTAGCTCCCTCTTTATGAGAATAGGGTTGTAAGATAAAAGTGACACCCACAAGGAAGGCTCAGGTCAGAAACCACTCCCACTGCTCATACATATTTCCCAAATGAAGATCCAGAACTCTGGAATAATTTGAATGGTCTTTTCCACCTTGGGCATTCTATAATTCCAGAACTTTGCAGTAGAAATGTCACTGGGAATGGAAATTACACACAATAGGGGAACTAGGGAGAAAGAGCCTGGGTCCCTGAAAACAATGGGGAGCACAGCTGCCGTATCAGCCCTGGTGACCTGTGGCTTTTTGTCAGACAGAAGAGCATGTGGTTAAGAGCACAGAGTCTGGAGCTAGACTGTGTAGATCAAATCATGGCTCCATCACTCACTAAATATGTGACTTTGGGCAAATGATTTTACCTTCTGTGCCTCAATTCCTCATCTATTAAAGTGGTAATATCCTATCAGTGTCATAGGATATTATAAGGATTAAATAAGTTAATATACGAAAAGTGCTATCAACAGTGCCTGGCACAAAATAAGCGTTATGTAAATGTCAGCTAGTATTATTGTTATTAAATGAGGAACAAATAAACTATCTTGTTTCAGCCTCAGTTATTTTGGATTGCTATTTTTCGCAGCCAAATCTAACCTAATTCCAAAATGTACCTTAAAAATAAGTCAATTTTCAAAGTTTCCATTTCCACATTTTGGTCTTAAGGAGGGAGATCCAATGAAGCTTAGTTGGTAAGATGCCACTCTCGATAACTGTACCAATTCCAAACCTTTAGCTGTCCAGGGAGCAAAGGGATCAACAGACAAGATGCTAAACCCTCTTCAGGGGCCTCAAGCTGGGGGCTGTTGTTTCCCCATGTCCTGCTCTTACGCCTCGCCTGCCCATTATTCCTTTGCTTTCACAGACAGTGGGATAGTTCATCAGCACTTCAGAGGGAGGGAGGAGAGTTTAGTTCTAGTGGTCTGCCTGCTGAGAGGATAAAATTCACACAATCAGTCAAAAACTGTGAGCTAAGTGCACCAGCAAAGAGCAGCAGAGATAGGAAGGCCCAAATGCTCTCTGAAGGGCTTCATTCAGCATAAACAGTCTGTTCAGAAGGATCATTAAATGTCCTACTTGAGAAAATTCAACATATAATTGAGCTGAAATGGAAAACCATGCCAGCAACACAGTCTCAAATGAAGAAAGTGTTTTTAGTTGTCATTACAGAGCAGCCAGGACTCAAACTGGAGGGAATTAGATTTTAAGGAATATTTTATGGCTATTTTAGGAGTCAAAGCATCTAAAAAAGATGAAAACCCAAAGCTCTTTATAAAAATCAAATTGCCCATTCTGGGCTTTCCAAGAACATACCCATTTATTAGCTGATAAAATGTACTCGAGTGGTAGCTCCTATCGAGGGTTTATTTTTCTGAGAACTCCAAGTCTTAGACCCAAAAGCAGCCTCACATATGCCTTAAGAACTCCTCAACAGCTTTGGGAAAAACTGGTTTTCTTTAAATTGACAAGAGTAACTTGTCCATTCATTGCTCTAGGCATTTCCCAGGAACCATCTGTGATAGTAGGGCAATTTCCAGATTGTGATCTGCTGGGTCAAAATGATTCCGCCTGACTGGCAGGCATGAGAGGATTCAAGGCATCAGACTGCAGACAGCCTTTCTCTTTCACAAAGCCTCTGACTTACCTGATTCCTGTCTTTTTTTTTTTTTTTTTAAACTAAACTCATAAGAATACCTTACGTATTTTCTGATCACAAAAGTAAATTGAGAAAAGGAAAATATAAATCTTTTTAGCTATATATCTAAAGAACCTCATAAAATAGAAACTTAAATATTTCATTCAAAACCTAGTTTTAAGAAAAATGTCAAGGAATTCATCTAATTACCTGTATGTAATAGTTTTCCAGTGGTTCGAGTACTATAAAAATATATTGTTGGGTATTATTCATTTAGTATTTTCAGGCAAGTATTTGATGGCAGCAGCTGAGACAGGGTCACTACTGCAAATCTTAGTATGGAGAGGGTAGAGGGGCCCTTTGGCTAATCCCGGCAAAGTCAAACCACCTGACAGAGAAAGGTGAGGTGTGTCGGCCTCTCCCAGGGAGTTTAGAGGAAAGATTTCTTCTGAGGTTCCTACAGAGCAGAGACCCCATGGGAGATGGTTCTGTTTCATGAAGACCATGTTCCAGACTGTGTGAGAGGAGACGTACTGTTTCAAAAAGAGAAGCAGCTGATCATGATACTGTGCCTGTCAATCATGGTAGTGACTAAAAGGTAAATATTAACTCAGAATACATGAACTCTGGCTATACACTACTCAGAGTAGGGTAGCCTGGGTATACACATGTCAGGATACCCTGGGTAAAATTAATTTTAAAAACAACATATCACCAAATTTTCTTTATTTTGCACAGGTTCCTGTATCACTTTTACTTTTATTTCGCAAATGTTAGTGGCTGCTGGTTAACTCGGCCTCATGGCACTGGCTGTAGTACCCCAGGTTATATGAGCCCAAATTATATGAGTATTCAGGTTATGGGGGCAAAGAAATGGCAGGTCCAGAACACACTTAAACTTTCTAGGACCCGCCCAAAGACCACCCACAGAGCCAGGCAGCATATCAACAAGACAATGTGTATATCAACAAGCTCTGGGAAG